GGTTGGGTTCGATCTACCAGCTTTGAGGTTTGCAGCCCATCACGAACCGCTTAGGAATGTGAATAGCTGTTGTGTCTGGGAAGGGCTGGGAGTAGTGAGATGAGCCCACCTGGGAGAGGAGGAGGCAGGTGCCAGCTGGCCGCTGAGAAAGCTAGCTGTCCTCCTGGCAGCGGGCAGTCATGCACGGTGTCTAGGCCTAGTGACAGCATCATCTCTGTTTTAGGACGTTCACTTCCTCTGTGAGGGATTGAGGGGTAAGCTGGAGTCAGAGAGGCGGGTAGCGGGTGATCCAGAAGCCCACCGCAGAGGGGATGGGGGCCTGGACCACAGTGGAGCTGGTGGGGTGTGAGCAGACATGGCTTTGAGATGGAGTCAGGAAGTGCAGTCCGATGGGCCTTGTTTATTGACTGCTCGTTGGGGAGGGAGTGAGGGAGACCAAGGATGACATCCAAACTTCGGGCCTCGGTGACTGGGCGTGGAGGACACCTAAGAAGAGGTGTCCAGTGGGGAGCAGAATCTGAGGGTCCAGACGACTGAGGAGGGTCTGGGTGTGGAGCGGCACGGCAGCATATTGATGGCAGCTGGGACTCTGGGGTGGGAGGAGTTATCCAAGATGAATGTGTGAAGTGAAAATGATTCCTAATAGCTGACGGTATTACTTACTTAGATGTCACTGTGAAACAGCCCCTATGGCCCTGGGGTCTCTCATCAAACCACAGCCATTTGTCTATGGCCCTGTCTGAGGGCTGACTGGCTGTTGGCAGGGGCGACAGGGTGACTACACAGTCTCCATCCTCCAGCGGGCTAGCCCGGGCTTGTTCATGTGTGGATAACAGGGTCCCTGGGTTAGAAAGCACACTGGTCACTTCTGCCACGTTCTCTTAACCAAAGCAAGTCACAAAGCCAGCCCAGATTTAAAAAGTGAGACGTGGACTCCACTGCTGCATGATCTAAGTGCCCGGATCCAGGGAATGGGGTGACCGCTCATGTTTAATGGGAGCTTTACGCATTGTGTGCTGTCGGGACTTTACCATTTTACAATAGAGTACAGACACAGGGCTCGAGTACCTTGCCCATGGACACCCTGTTATCTAGTGGAAGCATCAAGACTGTAAACACAGAAAGCGTAAACGTGTCAGTGAGCTTGGCACAGCGGAGAGGGATGCTTACAGAGGAAAGGGAGCAGTTGTTTTTTTAAAATGAGGTATTCTCTCTTTTTTTTAAATTGTGATTTTGGTGAAAGTTTACAGAGCAAATTTGTTTTCTACTTAACAGTTCATATACATTTTGCTTCCTGACAGTGACTGCAATCCCCACAATGTGTCAGCACCCTTACCACTTCCTTCCTGTGGTTACCTTTTCCCCGTGTCCTTCTTTCCTCCGCATTCCTGACCTCTGAGCTATCTCCCGGCCCAAATGCTACCCTTCTCATCTCCCATGGTTGATTGTTCTAGGGACTATACCTACCTGGTTTAATTGTTCTCCTCTCAGGCTTGTCTGTTGTTTGGAAGTTAAGCCACTAGAGTGAATTTAATTCCTGGCCCGAAGGGTAACTGGGGGCCATAGTCTTGGAGTGTTCACTAGTCTCTGTCAGACAAGTAATCCTGGTCTTTTTTATGATTTTGAGGGTTTTTTCCCCACATTTTTCTCCCACTCTATCCAGGATCTCCAGTTTTGATCCCTTTCCAATTGGTTGGCAGCGGTAGCCGGGCACCATCTAGTTCTTCTGGTCTCAGGGTCATGTGGGCTGAGGTTCCCTTGGACTCACTCTTTCCGTGTGTCTTTGGTTTTCTTCCCTCTTCTTTGCTCCGGAGAAGGAAATACCAGTTGTTACATCTTAGATGGCCACTCCCCAGCTTTGAAGACTCTAATCACTGCTCACCAAAGCAGGAAGCAGAACAGTGTTTTTGTGTAGTGTGTGATGCCATTTGAGCTTGATGTCCCTCACAACCATAGCGACCATGGGCCCGAGCCCGTGGTCCCAGGACCTCACTCGGGAAGGGAGGAGTTTTCCAGGCTGTTAATATTGTTCCTGTCGAAAAATGAGCTCTGATGTCCAGTCCTTTTTTTAAGTTTTGATTGTTGTTATTGTTGTTGTTGTTATGTGCCGTCGAGTCGGCCCCGACTCATAGCGACCCCTCCTTGGGTTTCCGAGGCAGTATCACTACGGAAGTAGGATTGCCCAACCTTCCTTCCGAGGAGTGGCTGGTGGGTTTGAACCACCAGCTTTCTGGTTAGCAGTCAAGTGCCTTAGGCACTATGCTACCAGAGCTCCTATGTTTTGATTAAAGCTGTGTAATTTCTAAGTTACGTTGTGAGAACTTCTGAGGGCATTATTGTAACCATCTGTTTTATTGTATTTGATAAACAGGTGACACATTGTTGGCCTTTTCAGCCATTCTAGATGTGTATAGTGACTTTAGTTATTGTTCATCTTGGTGTTCAACCCTTGTCATTACCCGCATCCAGATTCTCTCATCACTCTTAACAGATGCTCAGTGGCCCTTTGAGAGTGTTTTAAATTTAAATTTTGAATAAATAACATCATCATGAGGTCTGAACATAAAACTGCACACACATAGACGTAGGCAAGTCACATCTCTGCCTGTTGCCCTGTTTACTCAAGTCCTGCCCACCCCAGGTTCTTGCACAGCCGTCCAGGGTTTCTTTATACTGGGGTCTCTGTACCTTGGTACTGTTGATGTTTTGGACCAAATAACTGTTGCTCTTGGGGCTTCCTGTGCAGGGTAGGTTTAACAGCATCCTTGACCTCTGCTCACTAGATGACAGTGGCACCGAAGTTGTGACAATCAGATACGTCTCCAGTCATGGTCCTATGTTCCTGTGGGCCCCATTTGAGAACCACTGGTTCACATGTGAATAAGCAAATAGGGCTGTTGGACAGGCTTTCTGTATCAGTCCTTAAGAACCTTCGTCAAGTCGCCACGTGACGTTCTGCTGTTGGGTCACGTGTTTCCCTGTTGGTGGTCAGTTGGGTTGTGTCCAGTCTCTTGCCGGCACACTCATCCTGCAGTGAGTGGTCTGATACGTGTATCATCGCACACGTGAGCAAGTGTATCTGTAGGAAATCCCCCCAGAAGGACACACAGCCCGTTGCCATTTGGATGGATATTGTGAAGTTGCCCTCTATAAGGTGTATTACCTTCCTGCGGCCCCTGTGATCAGTGACTTCACAGTCAGTGGCTTAAAACAACCCCGATTTGTTAACTGACGGTCCTGGAGGTCGGACGTGTGAATGGGTCTCCCTGGACTCAAATCAAGGTGTCACAGGGCTGCGTTCCTCTCTGGAGACCCCGGGGGTGTTGTTTCCTTTTCCAGCTGGTAGGGGCTGCCCCTGGCTCGGGGGCCCCCTTCCACCTGCAGAGCCGCCAGCAGCTGCATCACTGAGTCCCC